GATTCGTAGATTGGTTTCTTGAACACTGTAGTAATGGCTGTGCGAACTCTTAACCTCCTTTTGTCTGGCTCTTCTTTGTTAGCCGCCTGTCTCGCCCATTCCTACTTGTTTGTTCTACCGTGTTGACTTTTGCTGACGTCTTTTTATCTGGTATTGCTGTTGTGCCAGATTTCGCTATAGCACGGCCACTGTCTTCCTCCACGCGAATATGTTGGTGCACTCTCTCCATTAAGGCCTCCATCGTGAGGGCGGCGTCATTGTAATTGAGTCCCTTAATTTATTACCGACTGGCAGGCCCCATTTGTATTGTGCTATGGCGAGGTTTGTAGGGCAATCCCCAATCTGGTTGAAGGTTTCCCAGTAGCGACTATTGTAGGATCTCAATGTCTCCTTGTCGCACATGTCAATGGAGAGTAGCTGGTCGATCTTACTGGTGTCTTAGTGTTCGTTCTGAACCTAGTCACGAACGCCTCTGCCAATTGTGCCCAGGAGGCGATGCTGCCTTCTTGTACTTTCGAACCAGGTTAGACCTAGGTCGCCAACGCTGGATGGGAACAGGATACACATCAAGGCCTCATTCTGCCGGTATACTGCCATAACCTGGCGAAAGTGGCGAAAGTGCATGTAGGGGTCCGTCTTCCCCTCATAAGTAGTAAATTTGGGCTGGTGAAAGCCTGAAGGTAGCGGTGCGTTCTCTATTGCCGGAACGAATGGCGAGCTTTGTAACCTTGCTAATACTTTGTCCACTGGTTCATAAGCAAGCGCGGCATTGGCATTCCTACCTCGACGCTTCCATGCGTCCGAGGGGCCAGCCGCTGAAGGGCTAAAACTCTGCGCGGATTACGTTCCCTGGTATCCTCCTTCCATCGGGCCCTTTCCTCAAGCACAGTTCGTAAGTCAAAGGATCTAGGCAACTCTGTGTGCCTAGATGACGTCTGGTGCGTGTGCGAGGGCCTATAGGTGCTTCCCTCAGTACACGACCTCTCAGTTCTCATCCTCTCAGACCTAGAGTAACGAGTCCTGGTAGTCCGTGATTGAGTGTCGCCTATTCTAAGACTCCTACTTTCTGCTTGCGATGGTGTGGTATGCCTACCACGATCTTCCGAGTGGCGAGGAAGCGTGTTGTCTTTACGCCCCTCTCCTGCCGCCATCCCTTTTTCCTTTTATCTGGTGCTTCATCGACTCCATGTCTATCGCCATCTCCTTATTAACTCATCTTGTTCCTTCACGCGATCCTCCAGAACTTGAGGGTCCATCCTCTGCCTCTGTCTTTCAGAACTTTGAGAGCGACGGACTGTTAGCCTGCCTCCCCCTTGCATCCCTCTAGGGGTTCTGTCGCTGGGGTTCTAAATCCGCCATGGGAGGGATAGAAGGCAAACCTTTGCGCCTCCCACCCCCCTCTGGGGTTTGTCCGTCGATAGCGGATTGCGGCAAATTCTTTATTGTACGCCATTGCTTCCAATTAGAGAGGAAAAACTCGATCAAGAGGTTTTTGTTCTTTCTGGAATTCCATAGACGGGCCAATTGTACGAGCACGAAATAATCTTCTCGTATAATCTTGTTGATCAAGTTTGCAATCCTCCAAGCATCGTCACTTTACCCCTGAAACACAAATGTGAGCTAACCGATGGGTGTGTGCCGGATACCTCTCCGATGCCTAAGTCAGAAAAATAGACAAATGGTCAAAAGCTCTGTGTATTCGAGGATCAAAGTTATGTTACCTCACCATGGTTATGTTGTGAGCTTTTATAGGTTTCGCGTGGCTCAATCCTAGTAGGACTCTTATTCCTCCACTTAGAGTCCTCCTAGGAATCACACTCCTAAAAGATAATGTTTATCCTTCAAACACCCCCTCACTGCTTAAACCAAGTGAGATGTTTTACCACGGTTTGGACAATAGTATGACCGAGCTAACGCTATCTCTTTCATACTTAACCCTGCGCCTCAATATGTAACATGTAGCTCGGCTCATGTTCACTTGTACCTCGGTTTTCTTCTGTTTGGACCGAGCTGACTGCAGTAAGCCTTGACTGAGCTAAAAAGGCGAGGTCTAGCTTAAGAAGCCCAAGCACCTCGGTTCTGAATACTATGACCGAGCTAATAATCACCATCCTAACCGCGGTGACTGTAACCACTTGGACCGAGCTTACCACTCTAACACCATGGTCCACTTCACTAAGCCCATTTTACCTCGCCCACAAAACGGCCCATTACTACGCCTGGGCCTAGCTCGGCCCTAATGCACATATAAAACTCCCTTTCAAAATCAGATAGCTTATTTTGGAATGTTGATTCTTCAAGACTATTCAGTGTGTCCTCAACATATCTTTGGTGGGAATCTTCTCTTGGGTATGCTCAGTGCTCAACTAATATCTTATGAAAGAACTACGCCCCTCCCAAAGGCCAATTTTTTGGATGGTTAGCTTGGCATGGTAAGGTTAAGACTGCCAGCTTCCTCTGAGAATTGGGATTCTAGGGGATAATACCAATTAGACTTGTATTTTTTGTCGAAGTGAGATTGAATATGTGATCATATTCTTTTGTTTTGCCCATTTGATTGGCTGATTTGGTCTAACCTTGTAAGATGGTGGTGCTTCAATGGGTCATACCTAGTTCTGTGAATGGGTTACTTCAATGGGTGTCTAGTTGCAGGATGAAAAAGCTAGAAAAGAAAATCTGGTTGGCTATTCCTTTTGCTGTCCTCTGGTCTACTTGGAAACATAGAAACGAATGTGTGTTTAAAGGTTCTCAACCAAATCTAGAGGTGCTTTGTGATCTTGTTAAGGTGAGAGTAGCATTATGGGTTAAAACTTCATCCCCCTCTCTGGTGTTTTCTATTAATGGCATGGTGTCAAACCTGCAACAGGTTCTGTTTTGCATTAGATATGGTGGCTGAGCTTGTGTGGAGCGGACTGGAGGTGCTATTTCTTTTTTTTTTTGGTTCCTTTTGAGGCTGTTAGCGAATAATTGGATGGGTTTCTTGGTGCCAACCTCGTTGGGAAGAATTAGCCCATTGTGATGCTCTTTTGCTCTCTCTTTGCTTTTTTGATGTTTTGTGTATACATTTTGTACCTTTCATTGCCATCAATATAGTCTCTTTTTTGCATATCAAAAAAACGTAATATTTTTGTAAAAGAAATATGAAGAAGAATTAACCTCATTGGGCGATATGTAACCATCTTGATCCTTGTCAAATACTTTAAAGGCTTCTTTTAGTTCCTCTTCTGCTTCACTTTCCTATAAATATAAACAATCACAATTAGACATTATTGTTGGGCTGCATATTTATACAAGCCAGTTACAATTTGGCGTGGCAAAGTAAGGGTAATATGGGGAGACCATTCAAGTCTTCGATCCTGATCGTACACGTGGCAGTTGATATTGGTTGTTTGAGATCTAAGTAGCAGTGAATCAACAAAGAGATGCAAAGTGGTGTAGCTTCAACGGTTACTCGCATTCAAATTCAAAATCAAGAGGGAAGCCTAACTACAAGTGATGGCATAGTGGAGCTAAGTATAAGGCAACATGATCACGATCATGGAGAAACGATTCGACGGTTAGAAGTACAGTTCGATGGTCATCCTTGAGAAGTATAAATAGCAGAGAAGGCCCCAGAAAAAACCCCCAGACTCAGATCCAAGAAACCAGTCTTACTTAACATATTTCGTTCCAGTTTTTATATTTCCTGTTCTTTACATTCCTGTACTTTAAATTCCTACACTGCACTTCATTTATAGAGAAGTTTCAAGTAGATTGTCGCTGTAAACCTCTACGAGGCTGAGTTTGGATCATTGTAAGTTTTTCATACTAATGAAATGCTTCAATTGCTCTTTATTTAACTGTTCTTGTGCTTAAATTCTCCTAAATCAAGCTACCAGTAAAAGTCCTCTTCATTGGGCTGAAAGAACTACAACACGATCGTCTGATAATTGGTTGGCAATCACAATTCTGTTAAGGACTGATTGATCCTTGCTGGCACGCTCATGATTACAAAAATAACCTTCAAAGCCCAAAAAGCCAACATATATTTTTGGCACGCCCAGTGGAACGCATTTAAAATGGCTAGACGTAGGAGACAAGGAGAAAATGAACGCTTAGAAGAAGGTGTGGAAGGAGAGGAGAGATACCTAATCCAGAGGATAATGTGATAACACATCCTGTGGAAACTCCTATTTTATCGGAACCTCTATGGTCGAACAGACCAGTACTTCAGAGCAAATACCATTTGTTCATAATATTGACGAGACCAAAGGAATTGGACCATCCACTGTCCCATCTACTCAGCCAGTGAATCCATGGGGGGCCTAGTAGATGCCATGGGACAGCAATTAATAAACACAATGGAAAAGTGGGCAACAATCCTTTTTGGATCGAATGAATAACCACCAACCAACAAATGCAAGACACATGGAGGAAGTAAATGTCCCTCAGCAAAGATTGGCCTACGAGATGGTCTACGGGACCTCTCCCTCCCTTCAGGAAAAGAAACAGAGAAAACCGAGTCTGGTTCGCAAACCGAGACAAGGCACAGAAAAGGGTTCGGAAGTCCGGAGGCAGGGCTTACGGCCGCGACCCTGAAACTTCTGAACAAGCACATTATGCAACATCACCAAGCGCTCAATCGGTGACGCCTAAGTCTTAAGGTCGGTCAAAAATGGGGTGTCTACAACTTCTAACCGTCGAATCGTTTCTCCATGATCGTTGATCATGTTGCCTTATACTTAGCTCCACTATGCCATCACTTGTAGTTAGGCTTCCCTCTTGATTTTGAATTTGAATGCGAGTAACCGTTGAAGCTACACCACTTTGCATCTCTTTGTTGATTCACTGCTACTTAGATCTCATAACAACCAATATCAACTGCCACGTGTACGATCAGGATCGAAGACTTGAATGGTCTCCCCATATTACCCTTACTTTGCCACGCGCCAAATTGTAACTGGCTTGTATAAAATATGCAGCCAACAATAATGTCTAATTGTGATTGTTTATATTTATAGGAAAGTGAAGCAGAAGAGGAACTAAAAGAAGCCTTTAAAGTATTTGACAAGGATCAAGATGGTTACATATCGCCCAATGAGGTTAATTCTTCTTCATATTTCTTTTACAAAAATATTACGTTTTTTTGATATGCAAAAAAGAGACTATATTGATGGCAATGAAAGGTACAAAATGTATACACAAAACATCAATAAAGCAAAGAGAGAGCAAAGAGCATCACAATGGGCTAATTCTTCCCAACGAGGTTGGCACCAAGAAACCCATCCAATTATTCGCTAACAGCCTCAAAAGGAACCAAAAAAGAAAAAAGAAATAGCACCTCCAGTCCGCTCCACACAAGCTCAGCCACCATATCTAATGCAAAACAGAACCTGTTGCAGGTTTGACACCATGCCATTAATAGAAAACACCAGAGAGGGGGATGAAGTTTTAACCCATAATGCTACTCTCACCTTAACAAGATCACAAAGCACCTCTAGATTTGGTTGAGAACCTTTAAACACACATTCGTTTCTATGTTTCCAAGTAGACCAGAGGACAGCAAAAGGAATAGCCAACCAGATTTTCTTTTCTAGCTTTTTCATCCTGCAACTAGACCACCATTGAAGTAACCCATTCACAGAACTAGGTATGACCCATTGAAGCACCACCATCTTACAAGGTTAGACCAAATCAGCCAATCAAATGGGCAAAACAAAAGAATATGATCCACATATTCAATCTCACTTCGACAAAAAATACAAGTCTAATTGGTATTATCCCCTAGAATCCCAATTCTACAGAGGAAGCTGGCAGTCTTAACCTTACCATGCCAAGCTAACCATCCAAAAAATTGGGCTTTGGGAGGGGCGTAGTTCTTTCATAAGATATTAGTTGAGCACTGAGCATACCCAAGAGAAGATTCCCACCAAAGATATGTTGAGGACACACTGAATAGTCTTGAAGAATCAACATTCCAAAATAAGCTATCTGATTTTGAAAGGGAGTTTTATATGTGCATTAGGGCCGAGCTAGGCCCAGGCGTAGTAATGGGCCGTTTTGTGGGCGAGGTAAAATGGGCTTAGTGAAGTGGACCATGGTGTTAGAGTGGTAAGCTCGGTCCAAGTGGTTACAGTCACCGCGGTTAGGATGGTGATTATTAGCTCGGTCATAGTATTCAGAACCGAGGTGCTTGGGCTTCTTAAGCTAGACCTCGCCTTTTTAGCTCAGTCAAGGCTTACTGCAGTCAGCTCGGTCCAAACAGAAGAAAACCGAGGTACAAGTGAACATGAGCCGAGCTACATGTTACATATTGAGGCGCAGGGTTAAGTATGAAAGAGATAGCGTTAGCTCGGTCATACTATTGTCCAAACCGTGGTAAAACCATCTCACTTGGTTTAAGCAGTGAGGGGGTGTTGAAGGATAAACATTATCTTTTAGGAGTGTGATTCCTAAGAGGACTCTAAGTGGAGGAATAAGAGTCCTACTAGGATTGAGCCACGCGAAACCTATAAAAGCTCACAACATAACCTATGGTGAGGTAACATAACTTTGATCCTCGAATACACAGAGCTTTTGACCATTTGTCTATTTTTCTGACTTAGGCATCGGAGAGGTATCCGGCACACACCCATCGGTTAGCTCACATTTGTGTTTCAGGGAGTAAAGTGACGATGCTTGGAGGATTGCAAACTTGATCAACAAGATTATACGAGAAGATTATTTCGTGCTCGTACAATTGGCGCCGTCTATGGAATTCCAGAAAGAACAAAACCTCTTGATCGAGTTTTTCCTCTCTAATTGGAAGCAATGGCGTACAATAAAGATTTGCCGCAATCCGCTATCGACGGACAAACCCCAGAGGGGGGTGGGAGGCGCAAAGGTTTGCCTTCTATCCCTCCCATGGCGGATTTAGAACCCCAGCGACAGAACCCCTAGAGGGATGCAAGGGGGAGGCAGGCTAACAGTCCCGTCGCTCTCAAAGTTCTGAAAGACAGAGGCAGAGGATGGACCCTCAAGTTCTGGAGGATCGCGTGAAGGAACAAGATGAGTTAATAAGGAAGATGGCGATAGACATGGAGTCGATGAAGCACCAGATAAAAGGAAAAAGGGATGGCGGCAGGAGAGGGGCGTAAAGACAACACGCTTCCTCGCCACTCGGAAGATCGTGGTAGGCATACCACACCATCGCAAGCAGAAAGTAGGAGTCTTAGAATAGGCGACACTCAATCACGGACTACCAGGACTCGTTACTCTAGGTCTGAGAGGATGAGAACTGAGAGGTCGTGTACTGAGGGAAGCACCTATAGGCCCTCGCACACGCACCAGACGTCATCTAGGCACACAGAGTTGCCTAGATCCTTTGACTTACGAACTGTGCTTGAGGAAAGGGCCCGATGGAAGGAGGATACCAGGGAACGTAATCCGCGCAGAGTTTTAGCCCTTCAGCGGCTGGCCCCTCGGACGCATGGAAGCGTCGAGGTAGGAATGCCAATGCCGCGCCTTGCTTATGAACCAGTGGACAAAGTATTAGCAAGGTTACAAAGCTCGCCATTCGTTCCGGCAATAGAGAACGCACCGCTACCTTCAGGCTTTCACCAGCCCAAATTTACTACTTATGAGTGGAAGACGGACCCCTACATGCACTTTCGCCACTTTCGCCAGGTTATGGCAGTATACCGGCAGAATGAGGCCTTGATGTGTATCCTGTTCCCATCCAGCGTTGGCGACCTAGGTCTAACCTGGTTCGAAAGTACAAGAAGGCAGCATCGCCTCCTGGGCACAATTGGCAGAGGCGTTCGTGACTAGGTTCAGAACGAACACTAAGACACCAGTAGAGATCGACCAGCTACTCTCCATTGACATGTGCGACAAGGAGACATTGAGATCCTACAATAGTCGCTACTGGGAAACCTTCAACCAGATTGGGGATTGCCCTACAAACCTCGCCATAGCACAATACAAATGGGGCCTGCCAGTCGGTAATAAATTAAGGGACTCAATTACAATGACGCCGCCCCTCACGATGGAGGCCTTAATGGAGAGAGTGCACCAACATATTCGCGTGGAGGAAGACAGTGGCCGTGCTATAGCGAAATCTGGCACAACAGCAATACCAGATAAAAAGACGTCAGCAAAAGTCAACACGGTAGAACAAACAAGTAGGAATGGGCGAGACAGGCGGGCTAACAAAGAAGACCCAGACAAAAGGAGGTTAAGAGTTCGCACAGCCATTACTACAGTGTTCAAGAAACCAATCTACCGAATCCTAAGTGAGATACGTGATGAATCTTTCGTCCGATGGCCAGCTAAGTTAGGAGAAGCACAAAAAGACTATGATGAGAGGTCCCGTTGCACCTTCCATGATGAAAAGAGGCACCACACTGAAAATTACATGCCGTTGAGGCAGCATTTGGAGGAGTTAGTGGCAGCTGGGCACCTGGACCAGTACATAGAAGGAGGGACGCAGCCAGCCCCCCAGAACCACAACAACCCAAACGGGATGCCTGTCGACACTCCACCTCTAGGCATGATTAACGTAATACACGGGGTATTTGAACCTGAGTGGGTATGTAAGCTCAGGGAAATGATCAAAAAGGCTGAGCACTTGAGGCAGGTATTAAGTGCACAATGATGCGTTGGTTGTCACTCTACGCGTCAAGAATTTCGACATCAAGCGTATTCTGATTGACCAAGGAAGCTCATGTGAGATAATGCATTACGAAACCTTTAAACAACTGAAATTGGAGGACAAAGACATGGCACCTGCAACATCTCCCCTAATTGGATTCAACTCAATGCCAGAGTGGCCAGTGGGCAAGATAATCCTCCCAATTAAGGCAGGAACCATGACGAAACAGGTGGAATTCTGGGTATTGAAAGTCCCTTCCGCTTACAATATAATTTTGGGAAGGACATGGTTACATGCTATGCGATCGGTAGCGTCAACCTACCATCAAGTATTGCGGTTCCCCAATGAAGCCGGAGTAATTGAAGAGGTCTTTGGAGACCAAATTATGTCAAAATAGTGCTTCGTCACAGTAAATGGTAGCCGCGCTGCAAAAATGTTTGTACAGATGGTCGAAGAGCCAGAAATCAATGAACTATTTCCGGATGTTGGCAAGACAGCTGAACAAAAGGCAGTGGAAGACTTGGTACAAGTAAGAATAGATGAAAAAGACCCAGAAAAGTTCTTTTTGCTCGGCTCGTCCTTGTCCAGCACTGAGAGAATAGAGGTCATGGAATTCTTAACCTCTAACATCGAAGTGTTTGCCTGGACGCCGTGTGATATGCATGGCATTGACCCAAACTTCATCTGTCACCAACTGAACGTCCACCCAACTGCCAGACCAATTATACAGTGCACTCGCAGATTAGCACTCCACCATGCCGAGATAGTGGTGGAAGAAATAGGAAACTTGCTGGAGGTAGGAGCTATCAGAGAAGTGCACTATCCCAGGTGGATCTCTAATACCGTAGTAGTGCCAAAGAAGAACGGAAAATGGCGTGTCTGCGTGGACTACAAAACAGTCAACAAGGCATGCCCAAAGGACAGTTTTCCTCTACCATGGATGGACCAACTGGTACACCTGACGGCAGGACACAATCGACTTAGCTTCCTTGATGCGTATAGAGAATATCATCAGATCGCTATGTATGAACCAGATCATGAGGTCACATCCTTTACAACGCCTAGAGGATTATATTGTTACAAGGTCATGCCCTTTGGCCTAAAAAACGCAGGGGCAACATTCCAACGGATGGTCACCAAGATGTTTGAACCATTGTTAGGAAGAATAATTGAGGCTTACATAGATGACATGGTGGTCAAAAGCAAGGATGAGAAGGACCATCTCAGGGACCTAGGTAAGATGTTCCAGATTCTGAAAAAGAACAAGTTGCGCCTAAATGTATCCAAGTGTGCATTCGGTGTAGGATCGGGCAAATTCCTAGGCTTTTTGGTGACTAACCGAGGTATAGAAGTAGACCCTTCTCAGATCAAAGCAATCCAAGACCTGGAAAGGCCCAACACAGTCAAGGAGGTGCAGCATCTCACTGGCCTAGCAGCCGCGCTCAACCGGTTCATGAGTCGGTTATTAGA